ATAGTCCTATTACTAAAGCACACATAACATGGTACCCATCCATTGGCAGTGGTCTCTGGAATAAATTAGCACAATAAAAATGAATAGTCCTGGTCTAGGCACTTTGCATGAGACAGAATACTCTCAAATAACATTGACTGAAAGAAATATTAGCTTATGCTTTCTTTCACTCTTTCTTTCATTCACTTTCTGTTTTAACAGAGTGCTTTAGGATATCAGAAAGAAGAGTTTTTGTCAAGAAAAGGCTGAACTGCTAGGCACCTGAATTTCTATTTACCACCAAAAAACAACCAATGAAATAAACAAACAAAGTTTATGTCTCCTTAAGAGCTGTCTCCTAAAGCAGGCTGTGAGGTCACTAGCAAGGCAATGTAAAAACAATTACTATTGACTTATGATTTAAGTTCCAGTGCAAAGAGCCTTAGTGATATAATCTGTTGACTTTCATACTTAAATTACAAAAATATACAGTGATGCATGTCAAACATCCTGTAACACTTCTCACTCTGGACCTGATTAAAAAGAACTAATGCCTGTTGCGGGTTGAAATATCTCTCAGCTTCATTAAAACCAAACATTTCAGCAAGCTGTAGCCTACATATTACATAGAAATCTATAAAATCCAGTAACATATAATTTTTGTGATTTATCCAATAATGAGAAAGAACAGTCAAATGAAACCTTGGAAATAACCAAAAAAGGGAAAATATGTTCAAAGACAGAAGATATATATTTTTCAAATAGCAGCTACAAAGCTGGACACATTCAAACAATAATAATTCTTTAAAAAAAAAAAAAAAAGAGCAAGACATTTAGGAGCAGGATCTCAATCTAGATTTAGAACATAGCTCAGTAATAAAAATTAGTCCCTTGTCCAAATAAAAATCCCCAGACCTGAAGATTAAGACATTTGTTGAAGATTAAGACATTCAACTTAAGAAATAAATAAATAAAAATAAAGAGACACCTGGATTATTTTAAATAAGAAGGACTACTTCATAATTTTAAAACAAACATGTTGCTTCACAAATTGACTTAAAAATACTTTTGAAAAAGTTGTCTTTATTTAGATTAAATTGCCCTCTCTATATTTTAAGCATCTTAAACATTTTTAATACCCTACTGATGTTAGCACTATTTCTCTCACACAAATAAAAAAATATTTAATTTAAAATACAATAATAATAATAATAATAAAATATTGCTGTCTATCTGGGTGAATTATCCGTAACATATTCACCTTCATTTTGTGGGCACCCAACATAACACTCCTCAAGACTTCCAAAATTTCCATTTTATTGAAAGTGACTATCTCCATTAATTACTGTAAAGTCAATCAACCATAGAAGACACAACAACTGATAGCTAAGCCACACACAGCATGGAGTTCCTGTAGTTCCTCTGGAAGATCTATATTTGTGTATATATGTATATGTTCCTTCCCTAAGGAACTTGCTTTGGCAGGGGGGTTGGACTCGATGATCTCTTGAGGTCCCTTCCAACCCCTACAAGCAGTTCTCCATTTTCTTCTTTGTGATTTATTTTCCAAGGGTGAGTGGGGGCCAGGGTCTGTAGCTAAACCATTTAAGTGAAACATTTCAGATGATTCTCTTTCTCCATATGAACCATACTCTGTGCCTCATATTACCTTTCATTTCAATACATATTTTGTCATTAATGCCACTTCATGGATTGAGGTGAATGACTTTCCATTAGGACCAGAATATTTTTTCAAGGCAGTTCTGATAACATTATCTAAAAGGCAAAATATAAGTATTAACAAAATGAAAAGTCTGAGTCCAAACATCTACTTGAACACTAACTGCAAACAAAATCAAGATTTCTATGTCTGTTTCACACATCTATTTGAGTTTAAAAAAAAAAAAGATTCTTTAATATCTACTCCTTGTATTTTCACTGAAACTATTCTTACAAGTAGTTTTGAGAGCTCAGGTTCTTTACATTTGCAAAACCAGAGAGAAGAGAAGTTACTGTCTAAAACAGTTTGGCAGAAGGTATTATTGCATTAGAGGGTGGTCAAACATTTTCAGGATTTTCCCTGAGACAGTTTCACAAAGTTTAATGTATTTAACAAGGCAACATATTTGGAATTGCCATTGGTTCAGAATTGCCATTGACACTTCCTGCAATAGTGCTAATTTATAACAATAGAGCCAGCAAAATGTTATCTCAGGTATTCCTCAGCAAAAGGTGAAGGTGCAGAACTTACTAAGACATCCCTGTCTTGGTGGAGAAGCACAGCCCATTGACTTCCTCTTCTATACCTCCAACCTCTACTTTCTCCCCTCAGTCTTCTTTTTCCTTCCACTAACTTTTTTCCTTTACATCCTATTCTTATCTCCCCTCCCTGGGTTAACACTTAGCATGATTTGGGTGGAGAGTATATACTCATATACAGTCATATATGTTTTACATGTACTTCAATGAACTCATTATCATATCCAAGGGTTTTAACTTGAATATTCATTTTTAAAATAGTCAATAAAAAGCTTTCACTCCAGGCACCATGGCCTTCAGGATTCTGTTCCGCTGCCAAAACAGGATCATCCTGCCATCAAAAGATTCCCTCCTTTGGCATCCTCTCATACCAAGCTTGCAGACCTCCATCCATAAGGTTTGTATAAAAGATAAGCTGCTCAACTCCTCCTTTGCCAAAGCCAGTGCTTATCAGTGACACTAACATGTCTGACTATTCTCCACAGTTTGCACTGGGTGTGCATGCATCTATATTAACTATAGCTCCATATCTGTAGTGCCTGTCATATTGCTTTTGTTTAGTAAAAGGTACATATATTTGCATATTAGATGTCTTAAAAATACATTATACCTGTTCTTCAGAATTTACAGTCTAAAACAATACAGAGACATTCAAAGAAACTTATAGGACATAACTATTTGAAGCACCTCATACTTTTAATTAAGTTATTACTTTATAACTTGGGATTGCTAGAAAGAAATGATAACAGAGACAAAGCACAACATTCAGTTATTAGAGTTCAGTCTATGACCTGGTGAAAATGTAAAAGCACAGCATAGAAATTAGTGAAGGGAAGGCAAAGCAAGGAAAATAATGTTTTGCTCTGTTAAAGGTGTGCGTTGTTTCTATCACTATATGTGTGATTGTGTTTTTAAATGTACCAAAAAAAAAAAAAAAAAAAGTTTCTAATGAAGATTGGGATGTTAAATGTGCTAAATGTAGAGTATCTCCTAAGAAAACAAATTCAAATTCTTCCTGTCTTGCAAGCCATAAGGAAGAAAAACAGTCTTGCAAAGAATTTGAGCATGACTTCACAGATATCATAATACTATATAAAAGAGCGTGTTTACTTATGAAAAAAATAATAGTAGTGTTTTCTGTATTATTACTCCATATTTTTATGCAACTTTTTCTTTGTTTCAGCACTGAGTTTAAGGGTCTATAAGCAAAGACTTTTTTGTCCCTCCCCACATAATATTACAGAACCTTACATTTTCAATTAATTCTTCTGCTAAGAAGTTGGAACTCTCATTAAAATTGGCTCTTCTTGGAAATCTCAAAGCATATATTTCAGTGAATGTGAAATTTCCTGACCTAAATTTGGCTCAGCTATACCCAAGTGATCATGTAAGCATGCAGACCATAAAGTTCTGTAAAACTTGAGCTATAAATAAATGAAGTCCTTTTAAAATATTTTTCTTGAAAAGATTTCTGCATATAGCACATACAGACCTATTGTTTCAGTTCTCAAGTCCTGTCATTTTTCCACAACTTTAACAAAAGTCGATTTTTCTTTCTCACTTTCATCTCCATCTTCTGTACTATAATAAGTTAATATTTTGTTGTTTTCATTGTTTATCTTGTCTTTGTTTTTTCATCTTATACAGAAATTGTGCATTTTATTTTTTTTTTCAATATTTTTTATTTTTTGAATCATTCTAAAGATTCCTATTTCACTTCATGCTAAACAGCAGATATCCAGCTGGAAAGAGATAACCAAAAATAAACCATATATTGTTCACTAATGTAAACCAATGGAAGGTGCCACATTTTTACACCATATCTATAAGTTATATACAAACACATTCTCTTAAGGAAAGTCACAAAGTTAATAACAGTAATAAGTTAGGCTTAAATAAAAACTTTTAGTCCAAATATTCACTGAGTGTTTTACAATCTATACACCTTGCACACAGAAGTACTTTTCTTAGTTATAATACCATCTATCATGAGTAAGATCTAGTTTTTAGGTTGACATATGTTCACGTTCCATAGGCTTCTGGAAGTAAAAGGAAGTAAACAGATAAAAAAAAAATACTACTAATGATAAAGTCTAATGAAAAGCATAAAAGAAATTTAGGATTTAACATGTATCTGGATTATTCACTTACATTAACCACACAAGACTTACTCTAAAGGGTAAAACTGTCACTAATTTACTAATTTATTTTCTTAATTTTCTAGGCAACAACAGCTTGTGGTCTGGATGGCAAATGAATTAATTAATTAATTAAAAAAAAAAGAAAAAAAAAAAAGAGGGATGTGGAAGACATAACTGTGACTTAATCAAATCTGATTCTAAAAGGACCCAAGTTTCTCCAGAAAAGCTAGGCATTCAGCAAATGGCTCAACTTCCATTTTGCATAGCAGGCAGTGATGGCAGAGTTCAGCAGCTCCATGCCAGCAATGTAGACTATGCATCCTAGTAAGCATCCTAGTAAGTGATGCTTATCAGAGATTTAAATAAATACATGCTTGTGATGGGAGGGAAGGGAGAGAAACTGTGAGTTGATTTTAAAGGAATTAACAGATTAGATGCATGTATATTCTTCATTAGATCAGGTTCTGTTGTCCTTAGCACTAAAGAAAATCACTTGTCTTGCAAGTCTTTGCGCTTACCCAGGTTTCTGTCACAGCTGAACTATATCACAGCTTTGATCAATGCCACTAGAAGTTCAGAGTGGTCTTATTTAAATTCCATCTTGCCTTTTTTAAGTATCTGTTTACTTCCACGTTCTGTGCATTTCTCCCTATTATAACAGCTGTCTTTTCTCTCAGTTCCATAATGTATACTGCCTAATGTCTACTTATGTTAATTAAAATGGCTACAGGTCTGTAGTTTTTAAAAATAAATTTAAATAAATAAATAAAGCATTCTTATATTTCTCCAGAGCAAGAAAATGAAATGAAAGAACATTCCACTGGGAGAAAAACAAACAAACAAAAAGATTTACTGTAAGTTTTTCTGAAATATCAAAATTTTAGAGAATGATTGTTTGAAAATGTTGTATCACGACAACTGCAGAAAAATAATATTTGAAAGCAAATACTAATTATGTACTTGAAAGTAGAACTATGCATAAATCATATATAGCATAAAAGCTTCTTTTATATAAATATTTGAAGGGATATTTATTTTTAATGTTTTAAATGAGAAATATGCTTTCATTTATTTGTATTATGCTAATCTTTTCCTTTATTTCTATCCTGTAGGCATGATCTCTCATTCATGACACTGGATTTATAACTGTGCAGGTTCTAAAGGCATGTAGTAAGAAGAAATACTGCTTTAGGTGAGAAAACACAGACAGAAAAAGAACTCTATCAAAATAAGCAAATAAAATAGCAATGATGGTCTTGGGAAATGAAATAATAGTGAATTAGACCCACAGCAGTGAGTCTAACAGAGATATGTTGTAACTAAAGGACTCTTTTGAGGTCTCAGTCAGAATCCAGCAGTTTTTTTCTCAAAAAGAGACTTTGCTGTATCTTACATTGTTATCTGAGAATGCAAATTCACACCAGGAGCCTGTATAAACCCTGTTATGCCTAAGGCTGACAAGCCTTACCACTAGATGAAGAAAAATTTCTAGAAAAGCAATCGCTCTCTCTTTCCTCTGTTGCCTTCTACTCAAGCATGTATATAAGCCTTGGGAAAGTACACTGCCCTGTGTCTATCTCCCTGCCTTGGACAGTAAGAAGATGTGTCTTCTCAGAGAAGAGAGCAACTGAAACAGCAAATCATTTCCCTCCTGAAGAATGAGACACAAGAAGAAGATTGTTTGGAAGTGACATTTTTTCTCAGCCAACACACAGCACATGTCTGTTTTAACTCTGTCTTAAAAATTATGTATAACATACATGTATATTACTGGTAGGAATAAAAAATAAATAACTTAAAGGTGTTTCAGGTGTGTCATACAGAATTAAATCTCTAGGCCTTCTGTACTAGCTTTTAAACATCACCTTTGAGTATACTGATTCAATCTGTTTAAAAAGTAAAAATCTGTAATTTATTCAGATATCAGGAAAGGTTTTAGAAACTGAAGCACAAAACAAAACAAGGGTTTGGCTGCAAACTTTTTAGGGATATGAAGAAACCTATTCTGAACTTGGCCAATTACTTTCCAAAATAACAGCACTCCTGATTTTAGTCCTCTTTAACTACCTTATTCATCCGACAACAGTCTTGGAAAATAAATTTATTTTCATTTTAAGTATAAATTTAGAAATTGTCAGCACAGTTGCAAGTCATGCATTAATGTTGTTTTTACTACTGTTTTCCCCTAATGTGCATCAGATTCACTAGAGCTGAACTGCATAACCTTTACATTTGTATCTTGTGTGCAGTAAAGACAATAAACTCTTCCAGCAAACATTTTTAAAGAATGAAGTATGGGAGAAACATTGAAAACAAATATGTGGAAAAAGTAAAGGGGATAAAGAATGATATGTTTCCCTTTGGTAAACAGCTTTTGAATTAGAAAAAATCTAGAAAGGAAGAATTCCTGTGCCTGGGATTGATATTTACAATAATAAACCTTATTACTGTAAACCATGTGCCAATAGGAATTTGAGAGATTTGCCAATTTTCTGCACCAGATCTGCATCCATTGAGGAGTATAATGCTTCTTCAGCTTCTTTTATGTATCACATTGCCTAAAATTATTTCAAAGCACTTCACAAGCCAGTCCAACAAATAAGTAGATGTAAAACGAAATCAGTGAATAGATACTGAAGAAGGTTAGTGTTCAAAGGAACTCTAAAGGTGACAGATAAGCCATGAAAGAAATGGCTTCTATTACAGAAATCTGTTTTTAAGGGAGGAATTATATTTTAATTTTGTAACTGTTTCATACAAAGAGAGATAAAGAAACAGATATGGGCTGATTCTATTTGAAGGTATGGCTAAAGGTGATTTGATTTCATACATATATAGTTACATTATTAACTCAAATAATACCATCATTACCAATATCTGACAGTAGCAATCAGGTTTGCATAGTTGTTTTTTTGTCTTCTTGTAGCTTTTTATTTAATAAAATATCTGTAAATATGTTTGTGGGCTTAGTATTTGTTATTTTTGTGCAATTTATTTTAAGAGGGAACTACCACTACTTGACAAATGGATTGATATATTGTCTGGAAGTCTCAAAACTCCTTCAGTTTTGCTAAATGCTTAATTATAGCTCTTATCATTTCTGGTCCTCCCAACATATATCCTCCCAACCAAAAAAAACAAGTTAAAATAAATAAATAAAATAGCAAGACTTCTCCTTAATTGTTCAATATATCATAATAGGTCAATTTTTTTTTTTTTCTGATTTCTTCCTTTTTATTAAACTTTTTGCATGTAGAGCAAAATATATTTTTATATATTATTTTTTTCTATATATTATTATATATATTATTATATATATATTATTATATATATTATTATATATATATTATTTTTTTCTATATTTATATTTTTACTACCCTAAAAAATGACTGATTTTCCTCACCAATTTCTATACACCTACAGTGCACAACTGTCATTATTCTTCCACAATTTATCCTCAGCAGGGTAGAAAAATAAATATGTAAAATAATTCCCATCAAAGAATAATCAAAACCAAAAGATGTAGTTTTGAAGATTAAAAAAAAAAAAAGTTTCTCTGATGTCAGAAAATGTGTAGAAATATAGGACATTTAAGACTAACAAGGTAATCTTGTAATGCACACATTTAGTACCCTATCGTTTGATTACTTATGAGTATATTCAGTACTAGTACTCCTTTCAGCTAAATAAAACAATGAAAATAATTGTTGTATAAATACGACTTCGTATTTTGAATCAGTATTATGGTTACCATTCTCTTATTTTCTATTTCGCTTTTTACACTTGTCATACATACAAAGAAGTATCTTCTTTCACGGAGTTACATTTGAATCTTAAATGATTTTCAGATTATAATCTGTAAAATTACAGCCATGTAGAAATACATGAATGAGACTGGACCTCAGAAGTCATATTGACTCTAAAGATTGGTCAGCTACACCTAGACTATCTTTTACAAATTAGTGCCTAATGTTTTCTTAAATGCCTCAACATTACTAGATGGTCTATTTCAATGTTTTGCTACTTAAAATAATAAAATAGAAAGTCTCCTTCAGATCACCAGGGCAGGCCTTCTTGATGACAAATGTGTCTGATTTATCTTTTCCTAGTTTATCCTCTTACTTTGTATAGTGGAACAACATTTCTTCAGGACATTTGTAATCTAGAAACACCTAGTTCTTTCAGCTTCATATACAAGGTAATGCTCACTATAACTCTTAGCATTCTGTTTTGTTCTTTTCTGGATTTCTTCCACTTTTTCATTTGTTTCTTAATATTTTGCAAAGAAGCCTGGGCACAGTAGTCCAAACCAAAATGCCAAGAATAGAACGACTTTTAGGCAATAATTTAGAGTAGTCAACAATGCAGGTGGGAGAGAAGGTGGTATAAAGAGTATTTGTTTTTTGAAGCATATTGTCAAAATATCATCTAAGTTTTGAGAAGTTCCAAATCTGCAGCTTTCTCAGGCAAGCAAAAAGACAAGGACTTGAAAAGAAAATATCCTGTCAAATATTTTTATTAAAGTAGACCAGTCTTCTAGTGGAAGTCATAGCTGTCTCATTATTTGAGATATTTTGAACAAAAGTTAATAAAATTTTAGAGCCTGGGCTATAAAGATGATCATGACTCCACATCATTGATTAAAATGCTTAACTTGCTTTCCTTATATCTCATCTCCAAGAATTAATGCTGCTGGTACAGTTTTAAAGGTCACATGCATTAATTTTCTGTAGTACACACAGAGAAAGATTTTGTGTCCAAGTAAGCCTCTTTAAGAACATTAAATAAATAAATAAATAAATAAATAAAATGTTTATTCCATCTATTTAATAACAAATTCCATGGACTTTATATTGAAATCACATGAATCAGACATGAACATTCAAAACTATTTTTCAGACCCATAGTAATATGTATGCGTAGTACTAAATGTTGGATAACCTGTTTCATATTAGTCCATGTGCTGCATGTTTTGTATAAATATATTTTTTACAGTATACATTACCTGTCCCTGACCATAGAAAATCTGTATCATATAAATCTGTATGAAATCTGAGTCAGCAATGTGCCCTTGCTGCTAAGAAGGCTAACGGAATTCTTCTTCCACACTTCTCAGCATTGTTGAGGCTGCACCTGGAATACCATGTCCAGCTCTGGGCCCCCCAGTACAAGCCAGAAATGCAGCTACTGTAAAGAATCCAAAAGAGGGCCATGACAGTAAAGGGGCTCAAACAGCTCTCCTGTCAAGAGAGGCTGAAAGAATTGAGATTGTTCAGCCTAGAAAAAAGGGTGCTCAGAATGGATCTACATATACAAATACCTGAAGGGAGAGTGCAAAAGGAGAGTGACAGGCTTTTTCCAGTGGTGCAGGACAGGACAAGAGACAAGGAGCACAAACTGGTACACAGGAGATTCCCACTGAACATCAGGAAACACTTCTTTACAGTGCAGGTGATGGAGCACTGGCACGTGTTGCCCAGAAAGGCCATGGAGTCTCCCTCAGAGATTGTCAAAATCTGTCTGAACATCTAGCTGATGATTTATGCAGCCCTCCTTGAGAAGGACAGTTGGAGCAGATAACTTCCCAAGGAAAAAGTGTTCCAACACTATCCATCCTGTGATTCTGTACCACCCCGTATTTATCTTCTTAGAACGTACATTTATCATCTTCTTAGGATAGCCAACAAATGGTTGGAAATATAAAAGTATTTTAAAGTATTTCTTTCTGTTTTTTGTTTTGTTTGGTTTTTATTTTTTATTTTTAATTATTACCATTTTTTTCCTGAACAAGTACTTGATATAGCTCAGAACTGGGGATGGTATTTCCTTTTTGTCTGTTTAATGAAATCTGATATTGTCACTAACATTTAAATGCTTTTTAAATGCTGATATCACTGTAAGAAAAACATTCATATTTTTCACATTGATTAAACTTCTATTTTCAATAAAATATTCTGTTTTCATGGACTTAAAGAAGCATACAGTTAACTGAGAAAAAGCATAAAGGCTTCATTTCATCCCTTCTACAATCTCCTGATCAGAGCAGGGCTTATCTCAAAGTTAGATCAGGTTTCACAAAACATTGTCCAGTCAAATTCTGAAAATCTATAGGAGCAGAACTTTCACTACACCTGTGGAAAATATGTCTCAGTGCTAATTGCACCTTATATGCAGTTTCCCACACGTCACTTTGTGAACATCTCTTCTCCTTTTGCTGTATAAGAAGATTCTAGCTCTTCTACTCCACAACTTTCTGGTTAACTGTAGCACAAGGCTGAAATTAAACTCCACCTCCCCTAAACTTTGTGTTCTTCAGAGACATAGAAAAAAAAAAAACACACACACACACACAACAAGTTTACTCAGTCTCTCTATATTTCAAGTGTTCTGTCTCACTGACCATCTTATTTTCCTTCCACCTGACATGTTCCAGTTTGTTAATCTCTCATACTGGGCAAATCAAAATTGGTCACAGTACTTTGGATATGAATAAATATAAAGTAATTACATCCAATAGCCAATTAGTTATATAAAATATTTTTAGATGTTCCTGGTTCCATTTCCTAATTTGATATAAGAGAATTCCAATTTCTGAAAATTTTCTAAAAGACCTCTATTCCCTTCTTCTCCCCATCAGTTACTATTGATAAGTAGCAGCAAGTTAGGCAGCTTATTAAGACTCTCACTAATCCTATGGATTTTCAAAAAGGTTGAGGGTTAGCTGTAATTGGGTTTGTGTTGAACTTGACCAGAACATTGTATCAGAACTGCTGTACAGCTTCTAAGGCTGGAAAAGAGACACTTAGACCAGCTGCATTTACTTATAAACAAAAGCAAAAACCAGCAAGGATAAAAACATCTGTCTTTCTCTTTGTTCATTAAATACACCTAAAAACACGTTTGATGTT